GGGAAATTGCATGGCTGCATTGCAGCCGCTGCAGATGTAGAACATTGCTTCCATGCAGTTCATGGGCAGAGTGCTTGGCCATAGCTACTAGACTTGCCCAGAGGGAACATGATGGACACTGAATTGGCAGCCGGTCACAGGTCGCAAAGCCATGGCAGGCACTAGCAGACTGGTTTTTGTTCATGGTTTCTGAAGCGACCAGGCGTACTTGTACTTTGGCCGGCCAAAGAGGCCTAGGCACTGGGCACTGCTGGGTCAATGTATGAGCTCACGCCAAGGCTTTGCCTTCCGGGGTGCCAACGCCTCGCTGGCCTTGCGCTTGCGTGGGTGGCTGAGTCGTGAGATGTGGAGTCCATGAAGTGGCAATCTTGCTCCTAGTAGCGTCCAGACATATTCCTAGTAGTAAGGCCAGGAGCCCCGTTCGTAGCGTCTTTGCTCCGTTCGTAGCGATGCCCTTTGCTCCTAGTAGCAAAAAGGAACCTAATAGCGTCCTTGCTCCTAGTAGTAAGGCCAGGAGCCCCTAGTAGCGATGCCCTTTGCTCCTAGTAGCGTCCTCTGGAAATGGCGGAGTCGTGTGAATCGGTGAAGTGACCGAGTGATCGCCCTCATGACGGTATCGGCCGAGGCTCGCCGTCGCGGGTGCAGCAGCTAGTGATCGAACAGGCCCAGACTTGTAGTGAGGGGTTTAGAGACGAATGGAATCTGGAAGATTGAAGGCACGAACTTTTTGTTGCTTCCTAGAGTCTTTTCATGTCTTTTTCTGTGTACCCTTCCAAGAAAGTCCAGTCCACACTGGATCTTTGGTCTTAAGGCTGTTTGCTGAAATCTCAAGTCCAACTGAAGAGGGTCCTCAAAATGTTCCAGCTCTTCCATAGCCAATCTCCGTGCTGCCAGCCCCCACGTTGGGCGGCGCTGCGCCCCACCTCACTGCCCCGACACTTCAGTGTCTTTGGCGCCGGAGAGGCGAAGCAGGGCGAAGCGAGTGTAAGCTATTTAAATTAAATTAATAGCTTCTTGTTACTACTAGTAAGGCACCTGTTACTACTAGCAATTTGGGTTTCCCTTTGGTTCTGAGTCTTTGAACCTCACTTTTGACAGACATGTACCTGAGGATTGATGTGGAGATGATTCTGAACCTTCGTTTCATGCGTCTCAAGTATGTTTTTGCCTCTTACTTGGTCCATTGCGCATCCTCCTTTGAGAGACCTCAGAATTCTGATTTGATGACCTGTCAGTCGAAACTTAGTTTACCTTAGCTCGCTTGTTTCTTGCAAATCTCCTATGAAGATGCTGCTCTGCAGACTTACGCCACTCAGTACTGTTGGCCAAGGAAGTTGGAGCCCCTTACATACTTGACCACCCACAGAGGCTCATCCCTGTTCAACAAGACCTCCCCCATTTCGACATCAGTGCCTGCCAGGTCGCTGGTGTCCAGCAGTGCCCCGGAAATTCGGCCACGAGAACTCGCCGGTTTCGCAAAAGCTCTATTATTCAACGCACTTGTGGGTCAAAAAGAGGACTCCGGATCATGCCGGATGAATTCACTTTCCGTCAGAACAACCAAAATTGAATAACAAAACATCGTCAAAAATCGTTTGTTTTGGCAGAAAGAGGAGACTGAACTTGCAGCAGGTACACTGAAGCCCTGGGAGACTTCACATACTCTTCGGCGGGACCTGCAGTGCAGGCAGGATGGTGAAATTGCCTTGGTAGAGTCCAGTTTCTCAGGTAGGTTAAGGGATGAGAACAAATAACAACTATGTACTCCCGCAAATGGACCCTTCATCGGCTGAAATATGTTATGTTGATTCTTTTGTATTTGGGCGACTTCCACGATCTAGCTTCCTCTATTTTCAACAGCCCTTGAGACGCACCTCACAGAGACTGAGACACAGCCCAGAACACAATTTCTATGAAGTTCTTGAAATCGCCGCATCGATGCCGGCAGGAACATCCTGCCTTCAAGGGTCCCTGACCCTTTGCTCTTGGGCCAGGCCTTTGTGCTGGCAAACACCAACGTGCCTTTGACGGGGATCCGGGTGGCTTTTGCAGGTGGGGTTTGTGAGAAGGGACTGGCGGAATCCGAAGGCGAGTAATTACACTTCGTTCTGTTGACTGAGGTGTTGGCCCCAAAGCAATACTTAGTTACAGAGCAATTTGGGATTGCCTCAGAGTCTAGAAGGTCATTTCTGGATTTCACGAGGATCAACACGTTTATTCTATATGGACAGCTTCTTGCAGAACACGGTCTCCGTAAACCATTGACAAGTCAAAGCTGTTCGCTTGTGTAAGGGGATGTGATCACAGCACATTCATTGGGGGCCTTTTTTAGGCCAGGCCGAGTATGCACGTTATGTCAAGGAACATGTGACTGTGCTAGCAGGGGCACTACCAAGCAAGCCACTGCTTGCTGGCTGGCCGGCTGGCCGGCTGGCTGGCTTGCTCCCTTGCTCCCTTGCTGGCTTGCTGGCTTGCTTGCTTGCTTGCTGGCTGGCTGGCTGGCTGGCTTGCTCCCTTGGCTCCTTGCTGGATCAGTGGCCCATGCCTATATAGTGAACATGTTCCCATTCATCTCATCCAAGCTCATCCCACGCTTGGAAGTCTGGGCACCTGAGAAGATACTGTATATAAAAAGATACTGAGAAGATACATGAGTGTGATATCATTACTATTAATATTAGTAGTTGTTGTCGTCGTCGTGGTGGAGTAGTAGTAGTAGTAGTAGTAGTAGCAGTAGGAGTAGCAGTAGCAGTAGTGGTAGTAGTAGTAGGAGGAGAAGGAGGAGGAGGAGTAGCAGGAGTAGCAGGAGTAGCAGTATAGTAGGAGTAGGAGTAGGAAGAGCAGCAGCAAGCAGTAGCAGTAGGAGTAGGAGTAGAGTAGCAGTAGAAGTAGCCATGGCAGTAGGAGCAGTATGCGGCATGCGTCGTAGTCATCGTCCTTCAAGTTTTTTGTGTAGGTCCAGAATGGGATCACAACTACATTTGCCTCTACCGGATCAAGCTCTTCGAGGTGATTTGATGCATCCCGGGCTGTGCGAATGGTTTGGAATTGCATTGGCAGACAACGCACGATTCTCATAGTCTCATGATGTCAATATATTTCTGCTCTGGTATGCGTGAGTGTCGGTGATGTTCAAAACGATTTCACCATGGGATAGGTCGGATTGAGTCCAATTGTTTCTCTTATCTCTCCTTCGCTTCTATCATATGCTAGGGATTTCCCGATGATGCGAGGGCATGGAGACTGCCTGCAGCGGCGGGCGGCCGGCTTGGAGGTGTGGTGGGGAGGATAGAGGCGCATTCGCAATTTGAGGAGCACCAGTGACACCTACTGTAGGACCCACACTGAGTAGCTAATATATATATATATAATATATTTAATCAAACAATATATCCTGAATCTCCTCAAAATGGATCTACCTTCTCAGAGGCTTGCTCAGAGATGTTTGTCCTTTTCGAGTATCTATCTGCTGCATCCACCTTGACAAGTTTGACACCAAGTCAAGCCTTGCATGTTGTGTGAGGCGTGCAAGTCAGCTTCCTAATGTTGAAGTACAGCAAGTTCAGTTGACTATATAATGCTCCCGTCCAGAATTCCCAACCTGCATCGGCCGCAAAACTGTCCTGGTGCTCAGGCTGCAAGACAATTCAAGCTGATTTGAGCAATTAATTGCGCTGCATGTCCCATCTCCATGTCCCATTGGTTGAGAGAGCATTCAAGAGATAAAAGGGACTAGCAAGTTGGAGCCAACAGTTCTTTGCATTTTGTTGTTTTTCACTTGGCCTCCACGCAATTCATCACTCCCAGATCTGAAAAGACTGAATTGGATGGATTTGGGATGCTTAATTCTCAGTGCGCACGTAGGTCCAAGGCTCGATACGTCGGGCAATGATTGTTTATGCCAAACGTGGTCCAGCACATCTAGATGCCAAAACGCATGATTGCACGTTGCAATCTAGGGTACTTTGCAAACCTCACCTCATGTCATCATAGACGTCTTGACCTTTATTAACAGAAAGTTTTTTGGTGAAGAAACAGCTCTAGACTAGCCCCTTCCAGGCAAGCAGTTTCCTTGAATGGTTTGGGCCATAGCCATTCTACGCCAGGGGGGTTCAGAATGAACATGGGTGACCCTCAAGTTTTGCGGTATGAACATGGCGAATGGTCAACCCACACTGCAAACTGATGGCTTGGAGGTCGACCCCATACTGCAAAGAGGAAGAAAGATATTGGACCACACCCGAGACATGCCATTACTGTGCAGTTCTCATCGGCGAACATCCAGTGCTGGGTTTCTCCAGAATGATACATCTTCGCAAGCATTTGACGTGGTTGGAATGTCATGCGAAATCAGAGTTGTTGCAGTGCTTCAGTTCCACCAGTTCAGGCAGACAAGTGATGGCCTCCTTTGGATTCGTCACTGGTCGCAGACCGAGTGAACTTCTGCCGCGTTGCGGCTGCTGGGGGTCTGGGCGGTCGCATTGATGAGGGAGGCGGAAAAAGCTGCGAGCATTGGTGGACAGTACCTCGTCAGGAGACCCCCTATGGGCTGGTACACTCCGGACTCACTGACATGGAAGTGGACAATGTTCAATGGCCCCTGAAAAGATCATGGGCTCACTAGAAACAGAAACATGGGCTGTGGAAGTGATCCATGAGTCGTATATCAATGATGTGGACTGTTCAATGAATCATTCACTAGAAACATGGGCTTTCCGCCTCCATTGGGCCCCGAACCGTTGGCAGTTCTTGCAATGGACATTGCAGCGATTGCATCGTTGATACAATTGCTATGGACATCGGCGTGGATCAATCATTGAAAGTTATTGCCCATTGCATGCCACTGAGATGGAACAAAATCCAACATCAAACTGATACAGCCAACATCAACAACTCTGGGACCTTGCCCACAAAGTTTTCAGGCCTAGCACCAGAAGTGCCTTCATCCGGACCAACTGAAGCAGTTTGAAGAACACATCAACAAATCACTCAAGAAGTTTTTGCAGTGACTGTGTCCAAACAATTCGGTTGGCCGACTTGCCGCGTCCCATTTGCTTGGCCGGCTGCAAGCTCAGTAATTGGTAACTTGAATTAGGGCTGTTCTGCTGTTCTACAGTCCAAAAAGCACGGGTGGCTTGTCCGAGTGTATTTCTTCTCGCTCGTGTTTGCCGCCGAATCAATCTCAGGTCGCCATGCCAATCAATCTCGAAGAGCTTGAAACCGCTATTCAGGAAGCTCTAGCAGCCAAGGCACGTGGCACGCTTTAGCTATTGTGCTTTGCGGGGCCGGCGGATTGAAGCAAGATGGGTATACCTAGCCCATGGCGGCTGAAGCCATTTGAGACAGTGGCTTGATCCATTCAGAGCTCAATGCTTCATGTTGAGCATTTAAACTGGTTCCTGAATGATCCTTAAGATAAGTAGTTTCTGAGGAGTTGTGTTTTGTGCTCATCTTGAGGATCCCTTTGATGCGTGCAAGTGTGTTTCTTTCGTTCAAACATCAACTGCGTCACATTTGCTACACGATAAATTTCAATGTGTTTCACTTGGTAGCAAAGCACGTCAGGACAGTCACCAAAGTACTGTGTGCTTATCGGAGGTGGCCGACTCAGAGATGGAACCATGTGACTCCTGCATGTTGTCACTTCGTTGGTTCCTACCTAACATGGCAGTGTAACCACCTGGTAGTGCAAGATCGTTGCCCTCAGTTGCTACAGACGGGGGCACGTGAGCTTTTTGTGGTGGATGCTTTTGTTGAGATGCGCAGTTTCTGACCGGAGCAACCTCCAACCGGAACCACCGGAACCACTGGGGTTGCCAAGCGATGAGGTCCCTCCGAGTCATGCCGCCTCAGGTGATTGAGACGCTTCAAAGTCCCTCCGACTTGGCAGAGCCGCGGCCTTTGAGCCTGCAGCGGCTCTTTTGGAACACCTCAGTCAGACTGTACCCATGTTATGGCCCCGTATGGCCTCTTAATTGCTTTTACATCTGTCAAGAAGCATGTCTTTATGCCACCTGGATGAGTCTGGGTGTGTTTGGAAGCAGATTTCGAGGTTTGTTTGCAGCCAACTGGCACCGTCAAAGATTAAAGTTCCACTATATAGTCACTATTCCTGAGGTCCTTTGCATTTGTTGTTTTCCCACACATGACATTTCCGTCAACGTCATCGTCAGATTGGATGATGGGACCCCAGCTGAGGTCGTTCTGGCCTGGCCACTCACCCAAACATGGCCCGAGCGCTCGGATGGGATCTGGAAGGATCTTCGATGGAATTCGGGCGCGTGGCCCGAGAGTCCCCCTGCCACCCAAAGTCGTACAAAAGATATCAACAAATGATACTGTAGAACATGCTGCAGACGCTGCAGCGTTTTTTGGGGGTCAGAGAAGAGCCACTTCAATCACCCCCGGCCCCCTAGTCGAGGCCCAGCCAGAGACTACTCGAGGGTGACCGAAGCCTTCGATCAACTGGTCAAGAAGGCCGGGCAATGAGTTCTTTTTTGGGTAAGTCTTACTCAGGGAGAAAAATCGACTGCACTGCCAAGAGCTTCGGAGGGTGTCCAGCCCGAGATTTGGGGGAACCCCCAGACGGCCACTGGTCCATTGGTGGTTTCTGAAGCACCGACGAGAATGCACGAGAATCCATTGGTGCATATTGACCAACACAAAAATGCGCATAGCAACGCTGTGCAAAAGCGCAGATGGTGTGGATGTTTCACCATGGTAATTTCTCTTCAGCATGTCGTTGGTCTATTGCGCCAGGGCAGTTGTCGATGGTCCTCCGAGTTAGCTGATCTCGTTCGTGGTGCTGCTGTGACTTGGGCATATCTTGTTTCTTGACGTGTATTTCTCACACGAAAGAATATGAAAGGGTGGTGTGGTATCGGAGAGATAGCATACCAGCTGGTGTGATGGAAGTTCAAAGAACCTGTTTGCTTGGACAATCTTGGAAACACTTTGCAGGGAATGAGACATAGCCTTGCCAGGCATGGGCGATGCCTGCCTTGCCTAGGTGCCGATGTTGGAGTAAGCCGTAAGCTCTTGTGCTTGATCCCTCAAAGAGCAAACGGCTTTTTCGAGGACTTTCAATGGTAAAAAGAAACTGCTGTTGAGGCTCTCAGATGCAGGTTGTAGGTTGCGGCTTGTAATTGTATTGCTCTCGCACATTCCGATCGCTTGTATTGTATTGCGGCTGAGTTCGTCCGCTGACGCAGGCGCCCCTTTGCACACTCCGATTTCAGTGACCGCTCAGAGACAGTCAATGCACCTTTCGAGGCCGGGGGAACGGAGGTTTCCAAAATCCTTTGGAATCTGTGAGGTTACGAACCGCTCCACTAAAACGGACTGAGTCAATTTGACAGAGTGCATAAAAGCTTGGAAAAGACTCAAGCCGCTTGACTCGCTTGACCTTGTTCTGTGGAAGAAGAGGTTGGTTGTATGTCGAGAACTACGCAAGCAATGGGGACTTGGGGAACATTTTGTGTGTACGACATCAAGAAAGGTTCCTGTTGGACTGTCGAAGCTAAGTTTGAGGACATGCCAAGTGGATGGCATCAGATTGTGCTTCACTGTTCCACCTTTTGCTCATGTTCTGGACACATTGCATTGGTGTCAGTTTGAGTTTTCAAGTTTGCTGGTGATGTGCCTCGCGCAAGCGCCTTTGCGTTATTTCATGGTAGGTACAGGAGTGCGATTTAGACCTGCTGGACGTTTCAGGACAGTCCAAGCAATTCAATTTCGCTGTCCAAATTGGTTTGGGTCTAGATTTATCATGACAAGCGTCAAGCAACCAAAGTCATAGAGCCAGATTGATAGCCTCGCCAAAGTGTTTCTTGTCTTCGAAGGGGCCATGTCTCAATACCTGATCTGTGCCGCTGGCGCAGAACCTGATAAAGCATCTTCGCCGGCAACTGGAAGTACAGAGGTGCGCTGCGCTCGCTGCGCTGCCGTGTCATCGAATGTTGCAGAGAATCAGATACACACGCGCATGAACCATCCAGAGGCATCTTAATGACCTTCGCGATGTGCACCAACTTCTTGAGACACTTCGACGGCCATCGATGAGAACAAAAGCCATGCCGCTGTCGCGACGGGATGCCGTTGATCCGCCCTGGAAGGAGCCGAAGGATGCGACGGATGTCGACATGGACATTGACCTGGACGAGGAACGGCAGAGAAAACCTTGCTGAATCTGGGGCTGTGACAAAATCTGAAAAGGTTGGAGAGACTGTTACCGAGGAAATGGATAATCAATCACAAATTGGATAAGTTGCTAGACATGTTGCTACATTGCATTCAAGTTCTCCTGTACCTTTGTCAAATGCTCAAGACTCTCAGGAGCCGTCTTCGCCCTGCATAACATGGTTATCGGTCAGCCTGGCTTCCCTTTCACATGTGTGTTGGTTGGCCTTTCTTGAGAACGTTTTGTGTCTACTTTTCCCTGAATCTTGGTGAGTTCTAATGGACATGCGGAGTCCGGTTGGAGCACTTTCGATTCCCTTGGCCCTATGCCATACTGTCCATAGCTTCACCAAAAGTCCGGGACCCAATCACAAAAACCCTGCGGCCAGGCTCTCTTGTCAGCCCTTTTGCCCTTGTTGACGAATGCGCTACCACGTGACCAGAACGAGGCCGAACCGGTCGACCGTAGTTGGCATTGGTGCCAGGGATCAATATCAAGACATTGCTCGAAGCATCAATGCTTGATGTAAAAAGATTGTTTTTGTTTATTCTTCAGGAAAAGAATATGTCTTCAGGATGCCTTCAGTGTTGAATTTGAGTCTTTGGGTGAATGCACTGAAGAGAGGCTGAACTTCTGGAGATACAGACTGCGAGACTCTGTTGAGACACTGTTGATTGGAGTTTTGGGGAAAATCCTGTGCCTGAGACAGTGTGGACAACAATGGTGGCAAGAATTGTTCTTTATTTTTCCTTTACAATTGTTAAATTCTGGGAACAATTGTTTTGAATCCCAAGGACAAAGTTTTATTTTTTGAAACATGAACCAGCTACCGCTTCGGCAGGTATGCATCATTCCACACCCACACAAGATGGAGCGGCAGGAGGCTGGAGAAGGCAGGAGAAAAATATTCAATGCGATTTCAACAACGCGCGGTGGCTGCACGGATTGTGGCGGTTTTGTTTTGAGTAGTTCACCTGGTTCTTGTGCTTCTTTGCACCAACAATACGAGAACGATCCGCATATTAGTTATGAATATACGGATTCCGAGGCCTCATGTTTCCATTCTTTTCGGATTCCGAGTGGATTCTGCTTCGACCGGTGCAGAAACTCTCTACCTGCACCTTGGAACCTCGGGCCGGCGGCCGGCGCGCGGCCGAGCAGAAGAGAGTTCTTCAACTGGGCACTGAGTGTTCAAATGGGACAAGCACACAGTGAGAAGGGGTGTTTAAAGTGATGTCAAGTGTAATTATGCAATCAATTATGCACATGTATATATATATATAGATCTACATATATATATATATATAATATTTGTTTGGCTCATGTGAGCGGAAGGTCTTCAACACCAAGAAGATCTGTGACAACTGCGGAACTCGCACAGCCGGCCTGGTTGTCTTCACAAGGTTTCTGGGTTTCTCGCATCTGGTCATGCTGAGTGCTGTGTATTCTTTGGTCAGGAATAACGGACCGCTACTACTACCACTGCTCAGAGAACTGCGACATTGACTTTTGCCAGGCATGGGAGATTTGATTAAACTGGTACTTCCATCTTCCATCCATTTGGTCCATCCTTTAAAACACATATGCAAAACATCACAAAACCCAACAGCTCGGGATTCGAACTGTCCTTCAGGATTGCCATGCGAGATCCAGAGATCTGTTGGATGCATTTATGGCCATGATCTCAGCTGCGTGTCCGGTCGACGACTCGAGTTTGTGCATGTCTGAAGATCTGAAGATGTGCAACATCTGCAAAATACGGAACAACGATGTGTCCCTCTCAGGGCTTGTTGGCATGTTTCTTCTTTCAACATGAAAGTCCGTGCAGTTTCCATCTCCAACCTGTGGGAGTGTGGCAGTCAAATATTCGCAGTTTGGCCAAGCACGCCAGTCAACGTGTGAAACCATGTGGTCCGAGCAAGCCTGTGGTCCGAGCGCATGGCTGGATATCGATGGTCCATGATGGTCCCAGGTCGAGGTCGATGAGGTCAACGATGAGAACTTGTTGAACGCTCAGATGAGAGAACTTGTCATCGATCACCTGCCCAGTTTCGATTGGATATGATTGGATCGATGTTTATTTCGATGCTTCAACTGTCTTCAACTCATGTGCGAAGCAATCGATCTGGTTGAAGCATCGATTTTGGGGTTTGATTCAGTGGGGGGTTCGAGGTGCTTTCAGTTCGAGCACCGATTCCTACAGTACCAGTTTGACAGTCGATCTCGATGCTGTTCGAAAAGATTGAGGTCCAGAAGGCTTTTCTGGGTCGTTGACATTACCGAGCGGATAGGACTGAGCGGACAGGTTCATTGCAGGACCCCTAAGTGGGATTGGCTCGTGAAACATTTGTAGGATGGCACGTCCTGCATCTCAATGCTGCTGACCGCAGAAAGCCTCAAGCTGAGTGGTTCACGGATGAAGTTTGGCCAAGGAGCATCTGATCTACTATAACTATCTATAACTCCTTTGTCCACTGATGCATCTAGCATGTCTAAAGGTCGGTCTTCCGCCAAAAGCACGCTCAGCCTTGCTTTTGCCAAGGCTGGCAAACGAGTTGGCTTTTGAATGGCCGACTTCCCTCTTTGAGAGATTAGCACAGGCGCTTGCTGTGGCTTGTTTAGCAGTGGGGCCTTCGTTCGGCTGGTCCTCTCCCTTGGCTCCCGTGGATGTTTTGTTTTGCCTAGGCCGCCATCGATGTGGTCAATGCCCGTGTGGTTCATGTGCTCCTGGCGGATCACATGCGAAATGTCTCATAAATCCTGTGCATGTCTTGGCCCATGTTGAACCCAGATGCACATGTTGCATCATTTTTGCATCATGTTGCCAGGTCCAGGATGTAAAAGACATCCAGTCTGATGAGAGGTTTTGGTATGCCGTTGGCCACCTCCTGAAGCCCCAAAGTGTTTTGAAATATATAAACGTTTTTGATCAGATCTTCGAAGCTGCGAAGTGAAAAAACGTCAAACCTTATCGCACGTCGGCTGCTGAGTGCCATTTTAGGTTGGCTTCAATTCTTATACAACACCAACGAGTTGCCTTGCAAGACAAGGCAGGAAAGCAGCCAGCGGGGCCCAGACGCGATCGATCTCCCCGGTGTGTGTGGGGGGACAGACTTCAAATCACTGTGCTCCAGTACGTTAAATCGGTTAAATGGGGATGGTCATCCATTCTTTTTGTCTCTGTCTCTCCCTCTCTCTCTATATGTATTTAAGCATATTATGTAAGGACTTCAATACTTCTGTAAAACCTCAATGGAGGATGGCAATCCTCCGCCATCCTCCACACTTCTGGAGCGAGTATCACGATTAAGATTCACCGATTCATCCGTCACCGTCGCCAGCTTCGAGTCCTCCAGCGTCCTCGATGGTCGTCAGGCGCCTTGAAGAGCAGAGCAGTCGAGGTCCAAAGGTGCGTAACTGAGATGAGAGTGAGAGAGAGAGAGAGAGGGGGAGTGAGAGGGAGTGAGATGGAGATGGAGGCAGGGATAGAGACCAGTGACCTTAGTGACGCGAGACGTCCAGGAAACGTCAAAGCCATGCAATAAACCACTTCGCATTGAAGCATGGCTTCGCAGCCGTCCTCGGTGAAGCCAATTGACTTTGCCTGCCAAGATTGACTACGAACGCTTTATTCTTGAAGGCACACCAGTTCCATCGGAATACTCGAGCAGACGATTCTGTGAAGTGCTTTGGAGCTCCTTTTGAATAAAGAGCAATGCCCCTAGTAGCGTTCTCGCTCCTAGTAGTAAGGCCAGGAGCCCCTAGTAGCGTTCTTGCTCCTAGTAGTAAGGCCAGGAGCCCCTAGTAGCGTTCTTGCTCCTAGTAGTAAGGTCAGGAGCCCCTAGTAGCGTCTTGCTCCTAGTAGTAAGATGTAGTAAGGGCAGGAGCCCCTAGTAGCGTCTTGCTCAAAGATTCGAAAGATTCGAGTGTTCTTTCTTGCTGTTCTTGTTCAAGCCTCCGCTTTGGCAGCCCTGGAGGCATCAACAAATGCGAACCCCTTTCGGAATTCCAGCGGTGGCGAAAGCATCCAAGCGCCAAGGCGCCTCGATCCTTCGTTTTTGCGCATCATTCGATCAAGAATCAAGAAAAGCCTGAAAGCCAGTGAAAGTCCCGAAATTGTGGCGTGCCTTGGGTTGGAACATACATGAACAATCCTTAGGTCCACTGGACTAGTGTAGCAGCTGGAGGTGTTGAGATTGTCCGAGGTGCCAAACGTCGTGGACATCCGGCGCTTCAGAATAACAGATCACTTTTGCCAGAGCCTCTTACCGCCTACTCTCCAGAGGGAGAGGAAGATGAGGAAGGGGATGCATTTGTGGCAAGTCATAGTTCTTGGACCATTGGAGATGCTTTGGTTAAGGAAACAAGTGCCTCGCTAGTAGTAACAGGTGCCTTACTAGTAGTAACAAGAAGCCTCAAATGTAGGAAACAACATCATTAGTGCGAGCGCTTCGGAAGCTCAGTCCTGTTCCTAGGAGCCTTTCCTATTGCTAGTAGCGAACGACTCGCAAGGGCGGGCGAAGAAAAAAACCTAGAGAGTTGAGGTGTGATGTTTTGTATTGTTTTGTAATCCTACAGATGTTGTTGATGAGTTTAGCCTTGGCAGTTTGATCATTGTACAAGGCTCCTTTCTCACTCATAGCAACCTGGTGCCTATGAACTTTCGCAGAGCCTGAGACTCGGACATTGGCTGAAAGCCGAAAGCAGTTGATGAAACCGTACTTTGTCCGACTTGGGCATTGCTGCGTAAGAGCTTTGGGATCTTTAAATAATAAAGACAAGCGTTTGAAGTTTGTGAAGGTGATCCTCAATTTGACTGATGCTATCATGAGCTCACCTGCCATTGGAGTTTGGGCTTTGATTGCCACATATACTGCGCAGGTTTGCTTGCTGTGTGATGTTTGGGAGCAGATGCAGGTGGCCAGGGCTTGAAGTTGATATCAACCGATGCTGAGATGACTGGAATATGTTGGAACGAATGGTTTTTTTTCTGCTTTGCCACAGAGTAGACTTCCAGATACTTTGAGGGTGTTCTTGCTATATAGTTTCCCAACGTGTCCCCAAAGTCCTGGTGCAGCTTGATGCAGGTTGAACAGAAAAGCATTCAGCTCTTGTCCTTTGAGAGAAACATTGCCAAACACATGGCTTGGCGCCACTCGCCAGAATGGACACATCGTGCCACTTCAGCTCGAGGTAAGAAGCCCAGGAGAGAGCTCGAGCTGAGAGGTTTGGGTGAAATGAAGGGGAGATTGGACAAACGTTTCGCGTGGAATTTTCTGAGGTTCCACGCGAGCCCGGGTCCCTGGTCGACACTTGAAGCAAGTACATCTGAACATATATACATAGAGCCGTCTGGCCATGGAGGTTAAAAGGGGGTAACTTGACACCCTGGAAGGAGATAGATTTTAGCCAGGGGACCGACCTGATTTTGAAGGTCACAAAAAGAAAATGGGTCTGACAAGAACCCTATGTTAAAAATAACATCTATCTGAGTCTATCTGGACTTGGATCTGAGGTTGGCTACCCCCCTTTTATCAGAGGGATTTTAGCCAGAGACGTTGGGTTGGACCCCCCCAATTTATTTGGAAACTGATGTTGGACCAGAGAGAGAGAGAGAGAACTCTAGATTGCTGACCTTTGTCTGTTGTGTAGCCGATTGCGCGTTGGCCTTTGCCATTTTGTCAAGTGTATGTTTGCCTTGCAATTTGGATGCCCACCAGGTTTTGGTCCCTTATCCAAAATGTGTGTCCTCAGCTTTGGTAGTCTTTGTTTTTGCTTTGAAGCTTTGTCCCTGCCACTTTAGCCACACATTTTTTTGCTAGGTGAGGTCCAAGCACAATAGAGAAATACAGAGTCGTACAGAGTCGTACAAGACACAGACGAATCAGAAGCAGGTGCAAAAATAAGATCTATGGGGCTGACATTGCAGCTGATTGAGAGTTGACCAGGCCTTGCAAATCCGGTGTGCGCAGAGATTTCTAGAGTCTGAAATGTTGGCCCCTCTCAATTTATCCAGGCAATGGAAAATGACGCGAACATATTGAAATCTTGGAACCCCCCATTTCATTAGCATCTTGGAGGGTAGAATGGGATTGGCACCCAGGGGTCCTAGGTGACTTGGTATGCCCAGATGGCTGTTATACATTTTTAAGGATGCATGTTCCCCTCATAATCCCTCCTAGATTCATTTACTGGCCAGAAACGGCTTGGACATCAGTCGACCTAATGATTGAAAGATTTACTCGCTTCGGCCAGACCTTCAGGCCAAAACGGCTCATCCAAGCTGTGGTGGCATCCACCTCAGCCTATTTGGAGTTTAACCATGTCATGCTGACTGTGTCTTTTTCATCTGTTTTTTGATTTGTTGAGCCTCTTTTTGTTTTTGGTTTCTTGTCACTGTGCAGCAGACCGTGAAAACCTCGTGGCAGATTCTTGTAAGGAACGATTTGGTGCATGCTCCAACCACTCTGACCTGCGACAGCCGTCAGCTCCTCAATCCCAAGCAGCAAGCATTGCGCTGTCAGCTGTGCTTCTTTTGATGTCTTACCCAGGCTACGGATTTGCTTCCAAGGAGAGGAGGCCGAAACTCCATGGAGCGGTTTCTCATGTTTTCTCGTTGCTCCATTGGTGCCGGACAGGCCGGAGGACCAGGAGTGACCCGTGAATTTTTCCAGGCATGGGCCGGTGGTCGGGTGGTCGCGACGTCATGGCTGTGTTGGCATGGGCTGTGTTTGGGCCCAGGGATTGGGCAACGGGCATTCGTCTCAGGTTGCCTTGCGCAGCTTCCTGGATGGTGAGTTTGGAGATGAGAAGTTGTTTGTTTACGATGAACAGTGCCTTGGATGTCCAAAGCATACAGAACCTTCTATAGGTCCTTTCAGTTGAAAGTGGCACATCTTAACTGCAAGCTTCTGAGGTCTAGAATGTGCGGCACCTAGCTTTGAATCGTTTTGAATGAACTGATTCATCAGTCATCAGCTGTGGAATTGCAGAGACTTGTCACAGTCATTTGTGCGGCTGGAGGTACTGGTTCAACGAACAAGCTAAGAATTCTGAACAATGCTTCCGCTCGTATGGCATTCTTTTGGGCCAGGACATGTGGCGGGACGCGGGAAACCTCCTCTCCCGGAACTGCACAAGTCAAAGCGTCATGGTCAAACGATTGTCACATTTTGCCTAGCGGCCATACTACACAATCTACATCATAGATCCAGCCTATTGGCGATGGCATGCGATGACGATAAGCGATTGTTGATTCAACAGTGCCACGGTGCCGAACTTGCCCTGGAAGAGCGCAGGCTGTGCTCAACAACACTCATGTGCCGAATATTTTCCCGCGGGCGCCGACCCAAGTCATCAACATTTAGCGCACGCGAAACCGAACAGTTTTCGCACATAGAAGCAGTTTCAGGAGAAGAGAGAGGGAGAGAGAGAGGGTCAGAACAGAGAAAGGATCTTCCAACACCTGAAACACATCGGTTGTGATCCCCAGCTTTGCACGCCCAAAACCAAAGCCGTTTGGGCCGCTTCCGCATCGTTCGTGCAACGTGCCGCTCGACTCCCCTGAGGCTCTTTACGATCGACTCCTGGAGGTGACCGGGGCACCGTGGTCGGTCGGAGGGGCGTTGGTTCGGTTCACCCAGGTCACGTCACAAAGGAGATTCACCGAGGCAAACAAAGGCTGTCGCTCTCGAAAATCAGCGAAATGTGTGGTTGTGATATGTTGTGATGGGTTTGATTTGTTATGTGGTATTCCTTCCGTTTGTGAGGATTGGACAAAGCCTATTTAATTTAGATCAGCGGTTGTAAGAAATTGGGGTTTCGTGTTCGATGACGAGCATCCACAATACTTTCCTAGAAGATCATTTTTGAGGCAGACATTTTGCCTCTGGTATACCGGCAAAGATTTCAGGTTCCCAGATTACTTAATAATTTTGATAAGCATTGCATCAAGTAATTGCCAATTTAAGATGCAATGATGCAATTTCAGGTTCCAAAATTACTTCCAAAGATTTAATTGTTGTTCCAACATCTGGACACTCGCAGCGTCTCGTTTCGCTCCTGTGAGGCACTCGTCTCGCCTTGTGCGCGGACCTTGTGCCTAGAGGAGCCGATGTCGGCTCCTTCCGTGTTCGTCGATTCGTTGGAGCGATTTCTGATCCTTACGAACCCTACTTAATCATGTATTAATCCCTACTACTTGCAAACAGGCTTTTAAGAGCCTGATGTCTACCCCTTACCAACAGAATCACTTGTTTGGAGATGCGTAAATACTGCAAGTCTCGTGCTGGCACCATCTCTTCCCGCGGCCTCCGCGACAGGACCTGGGGGCCGTTTGTCCCGACACGGCCAAGTCCAAAGCTCAGAGACATCCTCCACCAGGACGTTTGATCGAAGTGTGGACTTCACCTAGGAGTTTGCGTCAGATTCTGGAGTACACCGAAGAGGACCTGTTTTGGTGCACACCGGCCCGATCTTCCACCGTCGTAGGGCACCGTTGCTGGCCTCGCTGCAGGACATTGCGGAGGTCTTCGGCGAATTGGCCTGGCCTCGCAGCCGGCCCAGTCTGAAGGGATCAGTCAAACAGGGCTGCTTCATGGTGCTGTGCAGGCGGAAATCGATTAGCAGAAGACCTGTCGATTTCTCAAGCGAACAAGGGTGAGTTCATACAGGCAGCTGGTTGAATCATGTGAAAGTTGGATATGCCTTGATGCTGTTTTTCTTATCTCTCCTTTGACAGAGAGGGACAAAAAGCATGTTTGCCGGTAGGCCTACATTGATTGGTTCTTCCATGAGAGAATAGACTCTCAGCCAACGCCTTGGTTGGCTCTGTGCACTGCGCATTCATGAAGCGAATTCAGATGCTGCAGATGCTCAGAGGAAATGCTCTTGGGATTCTTGGGGTTTTGTCTAAGTCTATTGCCTGGCAGGATCAGGATGTGTTCTTTTTCCCTCTGCACGATTTGAGAGTATAACGTTCGTTCGGTTCTGGAGCCAGTCGGTCACTTGCCCCGTTGATACTCGAAGCTTCGTCGCTTCCTCCTGTGTCAGGAAGTTCCCCAGACAGCGGGTGATCACTTCGGTGTTTCGGGGTTTACCCACAGCGGGTTTTCCGGTGGAGACCCAGGTCGTCCGGAAGAAACACCTGTGAGGCTGAGACCTCTTTGCGAAGGCTTCAAGTCCATACTGGGTGGCTCGTCCACCCGGCTTGATTGGACCTCTGGGCCTCCCATCTACAGCAGGAGAAAACGTCGTGTGTCCGTGCTGACACGGCACGTCCTGGGCCACGTCCTGCCTTCGTAGCAGGTCACTGCTTCGTACCATCGTCGATGCCGCCCAGCCCTTGGACGAAGCTGCGCAGCCGATGAAGCGGCGGGTGACGTCCTAATGCACGGGGCTTTTCAGAGCACCCACTGAAGAGGGCAACACATAGAATGACAATGAGAGGATTTGAGCCCCAAACCCATGTGTTTCCGAGGTGCAAAAACCCAAACTATGCACCAAAACCATCCAACACCTCCCCAAAACGGCGCAATTGGCTTTCCGAGGTTCAATTGGAGAAAATTGTTTGCGGAGGAGCAGACAAAGTTGACGCAAGGATCTCAGACTTTGGTGCACTGCACTCCGGTGCAGTGTTTTTGCCGAACTGGAGATGGAGCAATCGAGGTCAATGCCATCAGATCTGGTGCAGAGATAGAGGGATGGACATCAGAAGAAGAGCCGCAAGCTCATTCCGCTGGAGGAAGCTGTGGAGGTAATCGTTCAGGTAATTTTTGTTGTTTTTTTGGCAACGGAAACACATTAATTCACACAATAGCTGGTGTTTCAGTTATTCTTAGGAAGATTAACACACAAAGCATATGTCATGCATGATCCCAAACGTTTTGAGAAAACCAGAGGTAAAGTTTAGGTACATGTTAAGGCAGGTTTTAGGACAATTTGGAGAGCCCAGGAGGCAATTTTAGTTGTTCAGCAATTTCCAACCTTTGGTGAACTGGGCTTGGTTCATCACCTTAAACCTGAGGGGTGTTGAAGCCAAACGATGCCAAAGAGGATCGTTGGTTTGGATCAAAAACCGGGCAGCGCTGCGGCACAGAGGTCCGACTACTTGCCCTGGTTCTGGGAGGCTGGAACTGGGAACAGGCTTTGCTCTTGAGCCGCCACAAGCCACCAAGGCAGTTGATTTTGCCAGGTGCTGGCAAGTTTCAGCCCTGCTGAAAAGGCACTGGCAAAGAGTCCGAGTACTTGGAAAGGTTTACAGTATGTCATTGTTGAATAGCCTTAGAAAGCCACGGACACGAAATTGGAAGTCAACAAAAGGCGGTCCTTGATCCTTTTCTTGCAGGCTCAATTTGTGGTCTTCGTCACAGCCAGTGACAGGGTCCCGTTGAGAGGATGGCAGGCCCTAGGCCAGCTATGGAGCTTGAGACACACCGGGCAGTAACTGGTCAGTACTGTTGTGGGCAAGGTCTTCAGACCTTTGGCAGGCCTTATTGTGCAAAAGAATGGCGTTGGAGACGACCGTCTACCTTCAGCATACACATGCTTCAGCCTTCCTGGCATATCAAGTATGCAGGTGTTTCGACCGGATACAGACTGGCATCGCCAGGCCAATTGCTTTTGCCACGCTTCTCCTCTAAAGAGAAGCTTCAGAAGGGCCTGCTCCTAGCGAGAGCCTTAGGAGCGGCGCGAGGTAGATGGAGGAACAGTTCGCAGATGTTTTGCCATAAGACCTTTGGGTTTGCTTACATTGGAAAGGTAGAATGTTGGATTTGGTCCGCTCATAGCATCCCAGCGCATGGCAGCCTTTGGTTTTCCATTTTTGGTCAAGGCGATCGCAAACAGTGAAGGCTTTGGTCTGAGGTGAGACAATTTCTCATCCATTAGAAAGACATCTGAATACAATACGAGCAACAGATACGGACTCCATAATTTATCATAATTTGCGTTCGCTCAACTAGATATTCGAAGTAATCTGGGTCCAAATCCAGGTGTTGCGTTTCACTCGTTTGGTGGTTTTCGTTTCACCTGACATCGCATCAAAATCAAAGAATAAATATATATTATCTATTGGGTGAATTATTGAATTCAATAATATAGGAATTTATTTCCATGGACATATACATTATATAGGCAAAAGATAATGTCGTCATTTTTTTTGAGTGATTGCTATTTTGCCTTGGGGGAAAGGTTTTGCGGAAAATCGTTTTTTTTTTTTTTTTTTTTTTTTTTTTTTTTTTCTTGGGAGAATTGTTTTGGGAAAATTTTTTTTTTTTTTTTTTTTTTTTTTTTTTTTTTTTCCAAAACACAAGCGAACTCTGTTGCTTGGAAAGGGACCTATTATTGGGTTATATATATTACCAATCTATAAAGAGTTTGATGTAAGCATTAGTAGGCATTTATTATGAGTGGAAGGTAGTGGATTAGTGTTTTTCGGTTATTAATATATTTAGGTTCGTTTGTTGTTGATGCACCGATCTTGTGTATGATATGATATGCATTTTTTAGGTTATTTTAGGGATTATTTATTGAATGAATGTTTACTAAATATTTATATTTAGAAAATTATATTCTAATTATAATTACGGTTAGAATTTTACGGGAAACCTTTTTTAAAATATTTGAGGGGTGGTAAGAATCTAAGAAAGGGCGTAAGATAGCAAGTAAGCTAGAAAAGTATGGCTTTTTGCATGGTTTTCGAATCGGTCTAATCGGTTCACTAAACCTCCCAAATCTAAAACCTGGTCATTTCCATAAAATTTATATAGAAAGATTATTTCCCTGTGTCGAATGATTATTATTTTCTGTATCTACAATTCCTAGAGCATGTCTGAGTATTACCTTATGTTTAGAGGCTTGTTCGGGAACGAAGTGTAAAGCACGCGAGAGTTATGTCGTAGTGCCGATGAATTCCATTACATCGCAGACTTTTGGTTTTCGTGGAGGAGCTGTCTGGAATATTTCCCATATACATATAATAGATATCCTTAGTCCCTACCTTGGTTATGTGGCCACAGACTCTGTTTTGTCAACAAACTATTTCTATAGCGTTCCAGTGGGATTTGTGGGCAATAAACGTATGTAGATCAATTAAAATCACACTCTTTTGGAACTCGCGTTCCATTGTTTTTTGCACTCTTTGGGTTTACTTTTTGGGTGATAAGTATTGTTTGGGTATTAGCGTTCTATTGGGGTTGGCTCTTGGGGATGACTGGGGGATGATTTTTTGGAAACAACGTTGCCATTGTGATTTGGCATTGAAACAGTGACCAGGGATGATTGAGGGATGACTTTGTTAGGTTCCTGTAAAATTGGGTGCCTTGGATATCCAAAATTAGGTATATTTTATAATGGAATAATATATGTGATATAATAATAATTGAATATTTAGGTATTTAAATATATTTTGTATTTTTGATATTAATTTGGATTCATAAAATATATGGATGAATATCATTTTATAAAATATAAAAAGGATTGATATATATATATATTTTTTTTTAAATATTTTAAACTAAAATATAAAGAGAATTTATTGATAAATTTGTATATATTATAAATATTAATTATATATATATAAAAGAAAGAAAAAATAGACATAATGATAAAATATAATATATTTATTATATAAATTAAATATTATTAAAATTGATTATTATAATATGAAATTTAAATTGGAATGAATTTAACTAAATTATATAATATTCAATATAATATTGATAATTTATTTATTGAATATAATCGATTTTAATAGGTATTAATTATGAATTTTGAATGCCAAAATATTCGGTGTTTTGTATTCATTCGGTTTTTAATTGATGTTCTTTGTTTTTGGATTGGATATGTTGGAATGAATTTGATTTATGATATTTTATTTGGATATTGGGTAATTGAATTTTGGTTTTCCTAAAATTTTAGGTAAATATGTTAATGATAATCCTTTTCTATATAAATAGATATATATAATTTATTGTTATTCTTTCTTTATATGAATAAACATAACATATATTCTTGAATTAATATATTTTTATTGTTTTGGAAAGAATAATTTATATGATTTTGAACAAATTCATCAGGAAAGAAACAGGCCACAAAAATATATCTAGATCTCTATTTATGTTTATATTTAGATTTGTGAAATTATTTTATATAGATCCTTTAATGGTATAAAAGATTCTTTATAGATCTCTGCAGATAAACATTTTCAGATTGAAATAATATATAGAAATTTTATATATTAAACATTTTAGATTTCTGCGGTTAAGAATTTGTATTTTCAAAATTTTCTTCTGGATCTCTTGGAAAATAGATATCCCATATATATATATATGCATGAAATGATATCTTTTGAAATCAGAATTATTTATTGATATATAGTATAATTAAATTAATATAATCATTTCCAGAGATCCAGAGGAAAATATTTGAACTAAAGATTTTTATATATTTTTCCTTGTAGAAATGATCATCCCCAGAGATCTAGAGGGAAATTATTGAATTAGAAATTTGTACATAAAACAATTTTAATATGTCTATATTATTTCTAATGGTTACTATAAATAAATATAATCTAATTATGTAAGAATTTTAATCTTGTTCCCAGCACTCCCAGGGCAAAAAATATTATAAAATACGGGGGTTTGTAGCATGTGGTTTCTTAAATTAAATAGGCTAGAGCTAGAATAGAATTAGATAAAATCAATTGGAATTGAAATAGAGCTAAGATAGATTTGAGTTAAAAACGAATTTCAACTATATAAATTTGCATTGAATTATAACCTAAACCTATTTAAAATTAGATGAGAATTGAACTAGAAAGGAAATGATAAGATATAAAACGCTTGAGTTACAAGATGCATAAGTCGAGGAGGATTCGAAATTACATAGCCGAAGCAAAAACAACAAGCATTGAATTAGAACTACAACTTACCCAGATTCATAACAATTTCATGTAAATCAGTAGATATCATTACAATTTCATGTCAAATTGATTGGATATGCAATTGGCAACCACATTGATACCAATCATAAATTAATGCACAGACTTGTATATGGAGATTTCGACAAGGACAAAGGGAGTGGTGGACTCAGACGCTTTCATTGTAAGAGCAAAGAATACATGTCTTTAGGTGAGATTTAGGTTCACATATTTGAAGATTGAACCAAATAACAAGAACACAGATTGACCTAAATAGGAAAACAAACAAAAACCTTGAGAAACCAATAATAACCTAGGAAAAGACAAACACACAAAAAAAGCCTTGGGAAAACCAAACAAGCAAAAATATATTTAAAATACAAGAATACACAAAAATTGGGGAAATCTTAAGGAAAGGGGGGGGGTCCAGCCAAGAGTCTCTGTGAATTATTTTTTGTTGTTTTTGTCTCAAAGTTTTTGCGTGTGCTTTTTTGTTTTTTTGTAGTTTTTAGTTTTGTTTTCAATGTTTTTTTTGTTTTCTCTATATTTTTTTGAGACTGTTTGGATTTGTTTTCCAGCACAAAGGGCATTGAGGCAATTTCACATAGCATGAATGCAGGCCACAATGGTAATTTATAGCACACAGATGAAAATAGGCAGCAAAAACACATAAAATACGCACTCCGGTGGTCTCCTGTGTTGTAAAATAAATATATGTATTTATTATTTTCGAAAAAGATATATGTGTTTATATTGAATGGAATATTACTATATTTTATATTCGAGGATGATTGGCGGTTTGGTTTCGCATTGGTTGTTTCTATTCTGTGGCACAGCATATGGCGACGCGACGTCTGAATCTTGCAATGTCGTTGCGCCGGTGGTAGTAGCGGCAGTCGTCGTCGTAGTAGAGTGGTAGTGGTAGTAGTGGTAGTAGTCGTTGTCGTAATAGTGGTAGTAGTGGTAGTGACAGTAGCAATAGCTAAAGGAGTAGTATATTCATTGCGATATTTAATCAGATATCTTTCGTGAATGGTTTTCGCTCTCCAAATCCTTGGATATGCATCCAATTTGAAAGGTATCCAGCTTTGAATCATCGCCACGACCATGAGGTAATTTGGGAAAGGAATATAATATCTCTTTAATGTCTGATGGCTGCCATTGTTACGTTACTTGGCATGAATTTCAATTTTTGGCTGGAATTTTGCACATGGGCGACACACCAATGGAAGGATACTACCAAGCGGTCCTGTTCAATTTAGGGTCAGGCTTTCTGTGTGATGACAGACCATCTGCCTGACTTGCGCGTGACCATGCCTTCTATAAGAATATCTATTTGATGTGGATGGCACCGTGAGTGACATTCGCCTCGAATCGGGCGTACCTCGACCCGTCTGCTAGCAGCTAAATGCGTACCTCGACCCGTCTGCTAGCAGCTAAATGAATGAATTCATTGCGATATCTAAATTGATATAATTCTGTTAATATTTTTTTGATATATATATATGTGTTAGTTTAATGTCTTTTAGAATTGTTATTCTTAAATTCTTTCAAATTTTATTAAATATAGATTTATTATTATGCAAATTCCATTCATGTATATAAACATAAATCCCATACCCAAAACACTAAAGGATTCGAATTATATATAAGGACCCACCACTATTCTATATCATTGAATCTTACCCACCATCTATACCTAACTTAAGGAACCGATCCATACCCTTGATCTAGACATTTGATCTAGGCCCGTTGAAATACTTTAATAAATTTTAATATCATAATAAATTAAAAGCTTACGCCTAACAACCGGGCACCGACCGATCCGAAGGGAGGAGGAAGAAACGGATAAAACGAAAGCAGAACGGTGCGCCGGCCGGTTTTCTTTGGCTTTCATGGTTTCGTTTTCGATATCTTTCTTTCTTTCGTTCTTTTTCGTTTCTTTTTATCTTTCGTTATTTCTATTTCTTTTCCATCCCTTTTCCTTTCTCTTCCCTTTCCAAGTCG